CACGAAAATGAAGTTACATCTATTTTGCCTCATTTTTTAAAAATTTCTAAAACAGTGTTTCCAATTTGACCAGTGAAAAATGCTCGTGTGGTTCAATCGGAAACAACTAACTCTCGTTCTCCCCTCCCCTTTTATAAAAAAAGGCATAACACTAACTTGCCGGAAAAATCTTGAAAGGTCGAACTCATCACTTGCCACCAGGGGCCCTCGGCAATTTGACGAGCTACTGCGGAATCAGTAGTTGTCATATAAGCTCCAATCATTTTGGCCACGTCCAAGAACGGGCTTTTGAATCTAAAACAGCGTTAAGCAGGTGAAGGCATCAGTGAAATTTATCAGAATAAAATCAACAACACTGACATTGCCCAGTTAGCTTGTTTTACTTAAATTTTCTGTGCAAATATGGAAAATTGGGCAAGTCACCAACGCAAACCGACGTTTTTCTTTAATCCTCATTTTTTGGGAATAATCACTGGTTTGTCAAATCGCAGCATAATTTTTGTTTTTTACAGTTCATTGAAAGGAAAAAGCTTACTTCGAGAAGGAACGTAACAGAAAGTCCCATTCGCTGATATTCATGAAAAATGTGACAATATGCAGCATTATTTTGCTCAGTGTTACTGAACTTGTCAGCGATGATTGAATCAATCCCTTGACGGTGGAGTTCAACTCCTGCGTCATGTGTATAAACTGGGCATCGTTCGATACACGTGCGAATTCTGCATGCCAGTTTTCCAGCTAATTTATGAAAATGAGCTTATTTAGATGAAAAAAAAAAAAACTTCAGTTATTAAAATACTGTATAATAGTACACGTACTATAGCCTCCCCTAGAAACCTATCTTTCGCTCAATCTATTGATGAACGAAGCATTTCACGAATCGGTCAGTGGTAATCACAAGAAAATATATAAAATTAGCAGCTTGTTGCTGGAATTATGCTTTTTTATGCGGTTGCTAGCAACAATTGATTCATAGCTTTATTCCCTCCTCATCGATTTCTAGGAGCTAGATAAACTGAGTTACCCTGAATGGTGCCCTTCTTTAAAAGCAGGAAACAGAAATGATATTTCCGTCTCACAGCATGTGTTGGTCCTTCCGGCAATGAATGAGAATATTTCGAAGAAAACCTTAGAATCGATCAAGATGCAGTTGTTTTCACTTTTCTTCTCATAGGAAACTAAATCACCCTTTTTTGTAGCTTCTTCGGAACCAAACTGCTCGTTGATGTATTGGCGACTGGCGCTGCAGTTCTGTTAATCTTTGCCTAATGGATACGCTGCCGTAAATTTTTGAATGTTTTGTAAATCGATGATGTTTCTTCGCGCTTAATCCCCTCCTCCATCCCACCATATGTCCTCAGCAAGCCCTATTCCCTATGTTTA